ACACACCTGCCAGTGAAAATGGTTTTAAGCAAAAAAAAATCTTCTAAGACAACAAATCTGCACGGTATATCGATACATTCATTAAATGATCAAGTTTTTTGGATTTACGATGGAAATTTGCTATGAAAACCATCAGGCTGTCGCCAAATTGTCAGGATTCCATTCGCTCAACTGAAGATGAAGTGAAGAAAAAAGAAAATGTTGAAGATTTCCGTGCTTCCCAGGAGGTTTTTTGAACTGAAGTGATTAAAGTTTGAGTGATTTGAGGGTCTTCGGAGAAATAGTAAGACACCCTGCAGGTAAGTACATCTACATTCCTGGACACCCTGTATACCCAGAGTGTTTGTGTCTGTAATACGGAAGATATGGTCTATTGAAGATCGTGATTGGTCAAACAGAGGTCTCGACTGGAGCCAAAATCTAGCGGATTCTGAGCATTGTCTTCGGAGATTCTGGAAAGTTGATCAGTAACTATCCAGATCTGAGTATCTTCCTGTTGCTGATCCCGATGGTCTCAGTCAAAGTGGTGTTTTCATAGATTATCATCCTAAAACTCTTGTTCTTGGTCATTTTATGGACGCGCAACAAGTTGATTATCTCGTCTTCTGATGGCTTCAGCCGCACTTTTATACAGAAGACATCAAAATTCGTGCGGAAGTCGAGCAACTTATGAAGGCCTGGGTAACTCAGATAATTTTTAGGAGTTGGCGCAGTGCTACGCAATTGGCTTGGTGCGCCAACCCAACGCACCGGCGCAGTAACTTGCATTGCTGGGAAAATGTTGATGACTTTTTTTTAAGGGTTTTTAGATTTATTTTAAAGGCCATTTATTGATAATATTTTTAAAATGTCTTCAAATTTCAGAATTTTCCAGTTTTAGCCAAGTTACTCTTTCTTCTGAATACTCAATTTTCTAAAGTTTCACTTAAAAATGCTGACAATCTTAGGTATGTTCCGGCTTCGAATTTGGAACAAAAATCAAATAATTTTCTATAACAACGAACAGAATAAGCGAAAGTGTATAACAGATTATTTGGAAATCTCGTCACCTCCATGACTCCTCCTCTGAAGACTGTAGAATTTGTTACAAAATTTGTTTTTTTAGTTTTGACTGAATTTTTTTTTGCTTTACTTTCTATTTAAAAACGCTCTATTTTGAAGAGTTTCACTTAAAAATACTGATGCTCTGGAGGACGTTTACGCGAAAAATTACAAGATAAATTTATAGCTTTGTAAAAAATTTAGAAAAACTTTTTTCAGTCGAATTCGGGACACAAACGAAAAAAAAAATTCCTCTCGTTTTTTCCCGCAAACCATTAAGGTTTTTTCCTAAACCAAATAGCAAAACTAAAAGTTTTTAATCGAAGTCGCAAAAAGCATTATTTTCTGATAATTTTCTCCTTTTTTTGACAATAATGGGGTGTTTTCAGCCAAAAATTACAAAATTAATTTTCTGGAAAATTTGCCTCATTTATCGGTTTGCAGGGACCTTTAGAAAACCCATTTAAGCTTCGAATTTGGCACAAAAACCAAATAATTTTGCTCAGTTTTTTACCGAACGTAATTAGGTCTATCTTGAAAAAACGACTTGGAAACAAAAGTTTACAAAAAACTATTGGGAAAATTCGCCGTTCTCATCGCTCTGAAGATTTCTAAAGTCCCTTCAAATGTTCTTGTCTTTCCTGTTTTAACAAAGTTTCTATTAAGCAATTCTTTCTACGCAAAATCGCATTATTTTTTAGTTCTACTTAAAATACTGGCAATCTTCCGGTATTTTCAGTGAAAAATTATAAGATACATTTTAATGGAACACTCGCCTCCTTAACCGCTTTGCAAAAAATGTTGGAAAACTTTTTGCAGCTTCGAATTATAGACAAAACCGTAATAATTATTTCTGGGTGCTTTCCAAAAATATTTCCTCGAACTGAAAAAAGCGAAAGTTTATAATAATTTATTTGGAAAACTCATGGAAACTGAAGTTTCTTCACTATTAGGTCAATATTTCTAAACAACACTCTCTAAACAGAAAAACCCCGTTTTTTCAAACGTTTTGCTGTAAAATACTGGCAAACTGAATCTTAAGATATCGATTTACAAGAAAACTCGTCGACTTTCTTTGGACTCAGTTCTGTTACAGAGAAAATTTAGATGCTTTTTTTTAGTTGTTTGAACAAAGTAATAAAACTTTACTCAGAAAAAATGTTGATGACCGTTTTKTGAARATGTGRAAATTCCAGACTCAGGTCTAGTAAAGCTTTAATAAATGAATTATAACTCATTAACAGATGAATTATAACTCATTAACAGATGAGTTATAGCTCGCTAACTCTGAGAGCGGCAACAACTCAATAGCGCAAATCAACACAGTGTTACCCAGGCCTAAACTTATGTGTTATAAAATGAACAATCCWTTAATTTTGAAGATTTCCGCGTGCATACATAGGTTGAAGCTTCAACCCCAAATTTTCCAAACWAAGACAAAAAACTGGCTTGTTTGTTTGGGCCGATTTGCAAATTTCAAAAACTGTGCCCTAAAAATGAGAGCAATTTGGAGTTTTTTCAGGGGAATAATCGAGAAGTAGCCACATTCCGATGGTGAGGTGAAAGCTAAATAAAAAGTTAACTTAATACAACTTTTGAAAAGTCAGAACTCCACTCGAATTTAATTTACGACAGCGTTCGCGACGTTCTATCGAAAAGGTTTCAAAGAATATTGAGCTTCTTTACACCGTTTTGCATTTAGACGCTTAAGAACTGAGTTGCGTCAAAGTTCGCAATTTTTGCTTCTAGCTTTTTACAGGATAGGAATTTTCCATCGAATTAATTGAAGATACGACAGCACTGTAGGTGCTCTATCAAAAAGGCTCTATCTGGGCTATCTTTATAAAGATCGTCGGGTTATTTCTATATATTCTATAATATTTTTTTTACATCTGGCATAGAACAAAGCCTCAATGCCTCAATGTTCCATTAGTTTTTGGTCGAGGTCTCAAGAAAACCCTCATTTTCACTGAATTTTTAAGGAAAGTTCAACACCTTTTACAACAGAAGCAATGAACTTCAGCCACAATAAGAGGCGAAGTTTCGAAAATATTCGCCATTTTTAAGGAAATTATGAGACTTGAATTTTTTGCTTCAAAACCACGATACCCAGAAAAAAGTTGTTCGTTGCGAAATATCCGGCCTACTAAACGATTCCCTGGAGCGATTTTGCCAAATCCTTGTTGTTGTGTTCGAAAAAGACATCAGATTAACCAAGATTCTCAGCAAAAAAAGCAACAGAACGCTAATTCTTCAGAAAAACCTAATAATTACTAAGGCGTACAAGCATTTTGATAATTTTGAGAATAAAGAAGAAGAAAGACTCTCGATCCTCTTGGAAAAATGGACATAATTGCACGCTGTTTTAACATAAAATCTCAAATAAATTACAGGATGTTCATTCAGAACAGTTAATTGCTTCGATTCGTTTCTTTAAACCCAGAAAATGTTGTCTGTATGTTTGTTGTTTGTACATGAAATAAGCAGCAGCATTTTTGAAATTTCAAACTGGGCCGGAACTCGACTTTCTTATGTGTTTTGGCTTCGAAGTTCGCTTTTCTTCATGACAGTGAGTGGACAAAATGAAGGCCAAAAGTAGAATTTGTACGTGTTTACTGCGTGCATAAATAGGTGGAAGCTTCAAGTTCAAAACCTTGCAATATTTGTTTTTAAATTCTACATTTAGTTGGTAACAAAAATCTGCTTTAAAGTTTTTATGGTAAAAAATGCAGTTTTTTTAAATAAGAAAAACTGATTATTGCCCGAGAAAAATACCGCACAATTTAACATTTGATATTTTCCAGAGCAAAAAAACAGAGCACGCCAATGTTTTTCCTGCAATTAAAAATTGTTTTTCAATTCTACATTTAGTCGATAACAAAAACGCTGTTTAGGGTTTTTTTGGTAAAGTGCATAATTTTTAATGTAAAATATATTTTTTAATAGCTAGTAGTTTTAGTAATAATAGTTTTAATTTCTTACTAATTATGCCAGAACTAAGGTAAGTTAACCAAAAATGTCGATTTTTTCGAGCTCGTTGCATTCCGCGTTTCATAAAGAGCAAAATGAGGTAAAATTTGAGACATTTTTAGAAACTTTATACTTTTTGAAAGAATCGGCCCACTACAGTAAGAAATTTTCGTTCAAAATTCGAAATTTAACATGAGTGTTTTTCGAGCTCAATGGATTGTTTCTGGCCTAAGAAGTTCTCTAATGTGCATCTTTAAGGTTGTTCGAGTCAATAGTAAAAAATATCGTTGATTAAAGATCGCGAAGGCCCAAAAAATCGTTAAAAATGAATCAAAATTGTCGATTTTTTCCAATCTGCAGCATCCAATGAGTTCGATGCCTGCCTCATTTCATAGAGATGAAAATAATGTAAAATTTGATACATATTCAGAAACTGTAAACTTAAAAAAAAATCGACCCGAAAAATGCAGTTTATAATTAAAAAAGTACAACCCGTTTTAATGTCTTACTAAGGCACATAATTCGCTTCTTTTCCGGCCGTTTTGCCAATTTCAAAACCTATTTTTCAGGGCATCGATTTGCTTTCGCAGCCATATAGAGAATCTAAATTGAAAATAAATGTAAAAGTGTATATAAAAATAAATGTTCGAAAGTTTTGGCCAAAAACAAGTTTTGTCAAGTGTGTTTTTTGGAGTCCATTTATACGCACAATTAGAGTGTGTGTGAGATGGAAAACCGCACAAAAATGGATCCAGATAGTCGAAAAAGTCTATAAAGTTTCTGAATTAACTCGTTACATTCGTCGCTTCTTGCAATAACTTAACATTTGAGTGTTTCCGAAGAATTACTCAACAGACAAAGTCCTAAAATAACAAGAATAGTCGCAATAAATATTATCTCGACGCGACAAACCAGATAAACACATTAAACGCATTCACAGCACAGTAATAAAGCTCAAGAAGGTGGACGACTAAGTAAAACCAACCTCGTTTACTAAAAAACCAGCACTTTAATAAAATGATTCTTTGTCTAGTAGTCGTCAAGGTATGAATCAATCTATAAAATCTAAAATTCCGCTTAAAATAACTCATTGAGTACGCAGCTGCTTCGTGATCGGCTGTCCAATAATACCGACTTGCATAAGACTCTAATATAAAACAAATAACATATAAAACTGTTAGAGAGCGGGGAATGTTTCTAATTTCCTTTGTAAACCATACATAATATCATCAAGCGACTGGGCCTGTCTGCAACAATAAACAAATAATTGTACTATATAAGAATTAGCTTTAGTTTTGTGTGCTTAGTTCCTAACCACCCTGTATGAGATAGAGGTTAACGAAAATTACATCTAGCTGGCCCTTAGGTACATTACACATAACGTCCGTAACACGACAAGAAAAATTAAAGCTCCAGGAAGAGAAGGAGGAGACTTGCACCTCTTCAGACACAAGTATATCACAAGAACATAAAATATCATTGATCTACTTAATCTAGAGTTTAGTGTTACTGGTACGCGCTAGGAGATGGTTTAGTTGAGTGTTCGAGCTAAGAGAGCTGTAGCCATCCGCCTAGTAAAGTCTGTACAGGATTTAAAAAAATATCTACAAACAATTCCGCCTAGAAAATCACATCGCGCCTATCCGAACGTCACGTTCAATGTCTTAAGGGACATGGGTTCAATGTACAGATCCCCGAGATCATTAAATTGCTTAATACTGTCCAATCCAGTCAGCGATTTCAATTCAATTGCTTGCACTTTAACGGCATCGAAATAGTTGCTGGCCTCAAAGCTCAGCACTGTGCAGCTGTAGTTGGCGCTAACCGTACAATCGTAGCCCTGCCGATGGAGCACCATCAGGGCACTGGTGGAGGGAAACTGCGAGTACTCAAAGTCCGCTTGCGTGCGAAGATTGAGTAGATGCACGTCGCAGGGCAGCGCCTTTTTGAGGAACCTCAGCTTGCTGGGTGCGGCCGCCTGCTGCTCTTGGTCGACGATGAACGACTGCGCTGGATAGTTCAAAGCGTTGGACAGATGAGTTGCGTATAGGGACGGTCGTGAGAAGGCCTCCTGCTTGGGAGCCTCGAATGGAACCGACGGGACGTTGAAGGAGCGGACTACTTCACCTGAAGAAGGTTAAAGATCAGAAAGTGGCACTCTTATGGAAATAGAAAGGAGCGTTGCTCATTCACCAGTATCCAACCGAGTGTGTGGAATGTGTGGTGCCTCATATGGAGCTCGAAAGGTCAAGATATTTTGATTTGCGCGTGATGTTCGCACACCGGGCTTACCCTTTTCGTAGGTGTCCTCATCAGCAAACCTCCTCAAAGGCGCCTGGGCCTCAACTGGCGCCTTGGAAACATCCTCAATCAGCATCCAATAGCGGCTGGTTGTTCGCTTGTTATCCACCAATCCCTCGCCCATGCCTCTAGAGTCGTCGTATAGAGTGCGCCGGTCGAGCATCAGCTCCAAAAACCCCGGTTGCCATGCGGACGCCCCTTGCGCGTGATTGGTCAGCAGGCTCAGCCGCACACTCTCATCCTGGATGTAAGCCATTGAGGTGATCGGGAAGTAGTTGCCCTCAACCCCCACCCGTTCCACTTTGACGCGCTTCTGCATGTTGAAGCCATTGAGATCCGAGTAGAACTCTGGAACGTCGCCGTTCTGCACATCCGAAATGATCCTCATGAAGAGCTCAGTCTCGCGGTTTTTTGGAGGATTTTCAAAGTCGATGGTGTTCTCTATGCTGATGGCGTTTGAAAGCGCCGAGTCTTCATCCAGGAAGATGGAGATTTTGTGGACTAGGAAAGGGCCGTAGATGGTCAGCAGCTCAGTGGAGACTAATCCGGTGCTGATGATTACGGACATTTGCTCTTTGTACTGGGCCAGCACGTCTTTCTCGTAGTCCCGCTCATTGGGATCGGGCATGAAAAGGTAAGCCCCTGAGTGGAACTGGGCGCTTCTGTAGGCAGCGAATTGGATCTTACATTGCATCACTTTGGGCTTGTGCTTGCGCACTATGGATTTCATGAAGCCCGTAGAGCCGCTGAATAGGATTTTCATTTTGTGGTTCTCCAGCTGAATGTCGCTTGGAGGGATATCTTTGATGGTAAACGGAGCCTCCAGCTTGCTTCCATTCGAGCTGACCTGCGACTTCTTCATGCAGTTTTTGCAATAAATCGTGGCAAGATTCGCAAGGTTCTTCTCTGAGTGGACGATGTAGTAGCTTGTGGCGCTCAGCTCGTCGAGCTTCGCTATAAAAACCAGCTCGAACTCACCCGCTTGGATCCAATGCTTCCCCAAACTTTCCTCAATGATCGGGTTGAGTTGGAAATCCACCTGTGCCCCATTTTCATCAGTCACCATCAAGCTAGTGGTGTTAACAGTGAAGGAGACCAGATGCTCCTGCGGGTAGGCGAGGGAGTTAAAGAGCACCACCCTCCGTTTCTGACCGGGGCCGATTTGGATGTTGCTCTTGTTGGGGAGCTTGTCGTAGGACTCCCTTTCGATATCGCTCAATATCAGATTCTGCCCCTTGGCAATGTGAACTTTGGGGAACAGCAGCGCTTGCAAGGAGGCTTCCTGCACCTTGACAGTGTCCCTCAACGACTCAAAGAGCTTGATTCCGTAGTCCTTCATGACAAAGGCCTTGCTGGTGCCGGTAATGGCGTCGTGATGCTGGAACAGCCCCAGATTCCTCCTGGCTCTGATGAGCTTCTCAAAGTTCTTCTCCAGAATCTTCCCATGCACCCCCAAGCTTTGCTGCTTGGCCTTATTAAGCGCCACAGTGTAGAGGATTTCTGCAGACCTTAGACTGTGCTCCAGCTCCCGATCTAGAATCTTCAAGAAAGGCCGCGTGGTAAAGTACCCAGACCAATAAGCGGGCCTGCCTTCGGAGAAGATGTCCGAGTAAACAAAGAAGTCGCCCTTCAAGGACGGGAACTGATCGAACCGCTTGGTGATGGCCTCAAAGTAGTCATGGGGGGTGCCAAAGGCCACCTCCGCCTTGTACTCGCTTTTATGGGAGTTGATGTGGGTTATCAGCTTCATGTAGTTGGAGTACTGTTGGTCGAACTCCTCTTTGAGGTTGTACCGGAAGTCATCGCCCAATGGGATGAGAACGACGTTGTGGGGGAACAGAGACCCGGTGCGCGCGTATTGCTCCAATAGCAACTCGGCCTTTTCCTTCACGTTCTTATCGGTGATGGTTTGGGCCTTGAGGGAGGACTCCGTGTACTCGCCTTGGACTTTCCGGAAGTCGAAATTGAGGCAGATGTAGGGATGCGGGCCGCAGCTGTGTTTGATCGAGTAGATGTCGAAGGGCTGGTTGTGGGTCAGGATGGTTCCGTAGGGATCATGAGGCGTCCAGCTGGGCACCCATCGGAAGTCCCCGTGCTGCTTCAATGCCAGCCATTGCTTCCACGCATAGTGGATTCTTTGGATGACTGTTCCGCGCAGACCTGCCGCGCCCAGCAAATATGGCACGGTGCTGCCATGCCCGAACGGATCCACTGACCAGCCTGTTTTGGGCTTGATGCCCAAATTGGTCCACACCCATTGATGACCTTAAAAAACCCCAATCAGCCTCTGTGAAATGTGAAGAAACGACGCTTTGCACCTTCAATCAACTGATCCACCATGGCGAAGAGATGGACGTTGGCTTCGTCCGTCATTACCCAGCCCCCCGTGGTGATTTCCAGCCTTCCAGAGTTCACCAGCTCCTTTAAGACGCGCTGCTTGTTCGGGTGCGCCTCTTCCCACCAGCTGTTCAGGAAGGAAATCTCCGACCAGATGAAGGTGAAGTTCTTGTGCTCTTGCAGCTTGGCCACCATGTTGCTCATGATCTGCTTGGAGGACACGTGGAAGTAGCTCTCGAATGTTTTGAGCCAGCCTGGATCGTTGTGCGAGTGGGGGACGATGATCACCTTAAACATGAGATCTTGTCAATAATGAGGAGGATTTCATGGGTTTTGAGGCTCAAATTGAAGATGGTGAGTTCTTGAAGAGGCAGACTTTGTCATCTCCAGGCGATAGTGAAGAGGTTTTGGCGTAGAAGGAAAAGTAAGAGCTGAAGCTGTTTGGAGCTAGATGGAGTGTTAAATCCGTTTAGGGGAGACACACTTCCACTTCCATTGACAACGAGGCCACGCCTACCTGCCAGAACCTGATCGATATAGGTATAAGAGAAAGGGAAGGAAGGATGCATGATAGGAAGAAGGAAGGATGTTCGATTGTTCGAATAGAAAGTAATTTTTAGAGGGAGAAGTTGCCGACAGGAAATAAAGGCGAAGTTTTAGACATTTTAGGTAGAAAATAATTAGAATTTTACATGTTACTGAAGAGAAAAGAGAAAAAAGCGCCAAATCAACATTTGTTGCTATCAAAGGAAGGATCTAAATCTAAGAGCCGCAATCGCAGGAGAGTTCAAGTCGGTTAAATTAGGAAAAAGTTGCGACAATCCAGTATTTTTCAGTTTTTGAGATATTTAGAAAAGAGAGTAGAATATACAGGGTGACTCAAAATTGGTGTCATTCGTCTGGAGCTGTGTCTGGTGATGTTTTAGGAGTACAGAAAAAATAGTAAAAAAAATTAATTGTTATTAAAAACTGAGACATTTGCAAAAAAACACGTCAGGAAGACGGCAACAATGTTTATCAAGGTAATCTGCCTAATTAACATTACGTAAATACCTGTTGCTTCGTAATTATTAAAAACTCCGGTAAGCATGGAGTTATACAGAGGGACACTAAAATAGACAAGGATAAACGGTAAATTCAACAGTAATATGAATAATTGAATGACGGAACGTACTTTTTCGAAATGTCAATTATTGTCCTCATAACCTAGAATTGATATGTTTACAAATAAACATACATTTGAGTCTTTAACTCCAAACAAGTTAGTGCCTGTGTAATCACCGTATCCACTTTTCTCTTCTCAACTTAAGGAGAAAAATTAAACAAAATTGGGGAAATGCATTATAATTATTGCTATTTAACTGCGAAGAAAACAACGACCAGAACCTCTTGGGAAATACTCCGAAAGTAGTTATTTATTTAGATAAAATCAAACAGGCCAACGGATGGGTTTGTCTTTCTAACAATATGGATTTAATCGGATCCAAATATCCAAACAAACTGGAAAAGTTAAAATAATTTCTTGAAGAATTATGCCGTTTTTGCATCAACAAATTCAAACGTTCAACTGTTTACGTAAATACGGAAGCATCGGGAAACGGATGATGGAAATGCTTTCTGCGCTTTGAGAATGAATTAAAGCAACACTAAGCCACATTGAAAATAAGTTGTGACTGTTCCAACAATGCAGCCAACATTATGGGAAGTGAAACAATAGCGTGCTAAATTAGAATTCTCTTTATGATGGCTCAAATGTGTCAGGTCAGCGGTGCGAAATTATGGCAATATTTAAATGAGTTGTGTGTTGGAGTGCAGAAACCGACAAGAATCGGCTTTTCCTGTGTGCGGTTCAAATGGTTAATGACCACGTTTGGTGCTTGATCAATAAGCAATGTTGAACAATGCATTAAATTTCGTTGTTTGATTGAAAAAGTTGAGCTTTTGACCACGATTCACGACCGCTTGAATCGGGATATTTTCATAAAAATAAAGCGAGAATAAAAAAAGTATTCCAAATGTTGCAAATGTGGCTCTGCCATTTAGCCAGGTCTGACACAAAATATCCAGCTAAAAATGACCAGAAAAAGAAAGAAAGGCAAAGAAAAGCAGTCACCAATCGTGACACGGCTTGAATCTGGATCTCTAATTTAAGCAAACTTTATCCAACATATCAAGTTTAAGAATTACAATTTTCGGGAAAATCAAGACATATCGGAAAAATCTTGTCAAAATCAAGCTACGTATTCCGTAGCTCATAATAATGCAAGCAAAGGAGACTTCAAAAATTATTTTTTTGAATCTCGAAATTGTTTATCTTGAATGTAAGTCTGCTAGTTAGCCAAGATTTACATAAAATATCTAGGTCAAATGGCTCAAAATAATTTGATAAAAGTCGAATAAAACGACTAATTTCATAGGCAGCATTTAATTGAGTATACAAAAGTCTGATGCATAGAATTTGTTGCAAATAAATGATTTATCCAAAGGGCGTTGAAGCAAATTATTATGTTGGTTCTGTAGTTCGGTGCCTTTTCAATGCGGCAAAATTTCGATTTTTGGACAAAGTGTCGGAATATTCGGTCTGAATTGCGTTCATAGATGGAAAATATAGAATCGTTGTGACGCTAAGGAAAGTTTTTAATTCGAAATGCATTTTTATTGGGTGTGTTCAAGTGTGGCGTCGCCTTTTTGGGGATTAAGGGGTAGACAATGGAGGATGGGGCGCCAGCTTGCAGAAGGCTGGTAAGAATGATTTCTAATCTATAAATCCTTTAGGTTTAACTGAGTTTAGTTCTTGGAAAAGAAACTGCAGTTTTATAGATTGTTTGCAATTCTTATTCTTTGCTTTTCCGATTTTCTATAACATGACTTTGAACAGATTTTCCGCAGCACTAAACAGATTTTTTCTTTTCTTCCAGGTGGCACGATGCAGCTATCGGTAAGTTTGGCATTACCTTGCCCCTGGTTGCCATGTAGATAAGTAGATTGTAGAACATTTTGCAACAAAAAGCTTCGTTTTTATGAAAAGAAAATGTGAAAATAGAACGAAATCCCCCCGTTGAAAATACAAACTGTCCTTCATAGGACGTTCATGTCGAATACGTACTTTTGCGTTCGGAAAATTTAAAAATTAAAAAAATGAAGCCAGCTAATTTAACTGATTTCAGCGAGGAAAAGGCCTGGTTTCGCTTAAAACGAAAGTTGAGCCGGAGGATACAGCGAAAAAATGCCCAACACAAATATTTATAAGAAATTAACGACTTGTTGCGAAATGTTTGGTATTTACTAAAGCGAGCGTAAAACTGGTTACCCACATTTCGCGTTTTAAGGTCAGAAACTGAATTCAATCGGCGATTTTTCATGTCTCGTACACATCAGGTTTCACTGCTTTGCCATTTTCCCCTCAAATGGCTCTTTTCTTGGAAAACTTCAAATTGGAGTGGGAAAATTCTGGAAAACTTGTACCTAATTACCTTTAAAGGCGGTCGTTCTGGATTCATCTTCTCGCGTTCGTAGCGGTCTTCAAAGGTTTTATCCCAATATTCTTTGCTCCTCATCCAGGAAGGCTGAAAGCGAAGAAAAATTTGTGGTCATTTGAAACGTCTAGAATCCAATTAATATAAAGGACCCACAGAGACAATGAGATTTGAATTAATGGCGCTGACCTAGTCGAGAGGGGCGCAAAGCTCTTCGACTTTACAGGCAAATTAGTCTCTATTAATGAGCGCAGTAAGAAGCAAAACTGTTAGAACATCGGCAATAAATCCCAAACAGTGTTGGTTGCGCTCATTAAAATGCTGCTGAAGAGTATCGTTCCAATCCGGCTTTTCCACCTATACGTATTTGAGGAAATAAAAAGAATTTTGCCTGGAAAGCCATTAAAAGCTCCATCGAACGGGCGGGCGTGTTTCCGCCGGAGAAAAAGATCTTTCCCATTTCTTCCAGGGATTTTTATGGATTTCAATTCCCATTAGTTAGCACTTCTTTACGGGCGATGAGAACAGGACAACTGCCGTTGCCAGCCGATAAATTCTCTTTTTATTTGAAGCCCTGAAGGAAGATATTGACTCGACTTGGCGTGAAATGACTTGACTGTATCCCAATGGAGGCAAACATGGAAGAAAACCACGAATGTTCCACCCAACATTTACTGGGTAAAATCAATAATTTGCTGGTTTAATCGGAATAAGCAAAGTTGATTCTTCGCCTTGGGAAATTGCACTAAATTTTCAGCTGAAAGAGCTGGCAAATAGATTCACCCTTTCAGTAAAACTGCCGCCCAACGATCGTCTTGCGTGTGCGGAAAACATGTAAGTTGCAGAAAAAGGCCCGATTAAATAATGATTCAATTAGGGAGCAAATCAGTCTTAATTGCATAAATGACACTATCAGGCACGCCCAATGTTGAATGGAAAACTGGCATTTTTCAGGTGGCATGTTCTGTGTGCAACTTTTGCGAGATCGAGTTAAATATTAGGTTGTTCTTTTTTCTGAAGGAACGTGTCAGACAAATAAAATATCCTAAAAATTAACCAGGTAAATTGGAGTTATTGCAGTAAATCGTGCTCAATTCTCTTTTTGGCTCGCTTAATATGGATTTTAGCCAAAAAGTGACTTAACGTTTGTTATGAACATTAACGCCCTCGACCCATTGGCGTGCTCAAAATATCCCCATCATTTTTGGTTTTGGAGATATTTACGAATTTTTGCAAAACATGTTTTTGAAATTTTCTCGATTTTGGCACGATTTTCTTAAAAATAAACTTCACTGAGCTATTGAAGCTTTAGACTCATCTGCTGTATCATTCTATAACTCAAGAACCAAAAAAATTGGAAATAAATTATCAAACTCTTCAAGGGAGTTATTGGGCCTTTTTAAATGAAAAAATTGGAAAATGTTTTGCTGATTTCCTCAAATTTTTGCGAATTTTATTGATTRAAAATYGCTTTTTATTTAYCACCAAACGAAATGGAAAAGRCKCTCTTAACTCTTCAATAGAGCRAGAAATTAGAAARTTTATTGAAATTTTSGCCGATTTAACACAAAATACTTRAATTMACTAYTGGAYGGTTTTACTTTAAAAAAATCTTAGAAAAAACTTAGAAAAAAACTTAGAAAMCAAACCAGTTGATTTTCKTCAACCAAAAAAATTGKAAAAAAAATTATCAAACTCTTCAATGGAGTTATTGGGMACTTTTTAAATKAAAAAATTSRAAAATRTTYTGCTGATTTCCTCAAATTTTTGCGAATTTTATTGAYTAAAAATYGCTTTTTATTTATCACCAAACGAAATGGRAAARGCGCTCTTMACTCTTCAATAGAGCGAGAAATTAGAAAGTTTATTGAAATTTTGGCCKATTTAACACAAAATACTTMAATTAAMTATTGGACGGTTTTACTTTAAAAAAATCTRTAACTTAGAAAYCAAACCAGTTGATTTTCKTCWACCAAAAAAATTGGAAAAAAATTATCAAACTCTTCAATGGAGTTATTGSGCYTTTTTAAATTAAAAAATTGRAAAATGTTYTGCTGATTTCCTCAAATTTTTGCAAATTTTATTGACTAAAAATCGCTTTTTATTTATCACCAAACGAAATGGGAAAGGCGCTCTTAACTCTTCAATGGAGCGAGAAATTAGAAAGTTTATTGAAATTTTGGTCGATTTAACACAAAATACTTGCATTAACTATTGGACGGTTTTACTTTCTAAAATCCGTAACTCAGAATCCAAACCTGTTGAAGAAAAGGTTGCTAAACTCTTCAATAGAGCGTGCGGTTGAAGATTTTTATTGGAAAAATTGAAAAGTTAAGTGCATTTTTCCCGATTTTGTTAAATTATCAATTACAAATTGATTCTTTCGGAAAAATGACCCAAAAAAATGTAAACTCAGTAGCCAATCAAACTGTAGAAAAACACTATCGACCTTCCAATAGTGCAATTAGGGTTTTTTTCAGTGGAAAAGCGAAAATGAGTTCCACTTTTTCTTAATTTTCCATTATGAAAACATATTAGCGGACAAATAAGGCTCTAAACTGTCAAATAGGCTCTTTTAATGGAAAAATTGGGCCATGAATTGCAACTAAACGCGGAGTCTGGAGAGCAACATTTTTTCCCAGAAAATTTCGTTCTGACGAAATAAAACAAAACGTGAATTTGAAAAAAAAATCACACAATTTTCACATTTTACAAGCGTCCGGCCCGATGAAATCTCCTCTAAAAAAAAGAAAAATGTTCTTGTCGAAAACTTTGCTTCACGGGGCGTTTCACATAGAAAAAATGACCAAACGGGTGGGTTTGTTTCGGAAAAATTCCTCCACTGAAGTAGGAGGAAAAGACGAAAATTTGTACACGGACTTTTATGGGGCCTGAACTTTCAAACTTTTTCCTATTACTCCTACATATTCAGTGCCAATTGGGCCCTCTGGGAGATCGGCAAAAAAATTCCAGTGCTGAGAAATCCAAAAACCCCCAGTAGTTCACTTACTAGTCAAATTAGAGGAAAAGTGAACAGCACTTTTTCAGACACTTTCACCTCCTCTATGCAGGGGCGTGCTTACAATTTTGTCACAGGTTTCAGTTTTGTAGATATTTTTGATGGAAGGTTTCGAACCCAAAAACTTCAATCGCCAACCAATATTTTTCGCTACGACTCTTCGTTTGGGGGGAAAATAGTAAGATTTTGAAAATATTTCAGCTGTAAACAACCTGAAACTGCTTGAAATCTGGTCCGTTGGTTGCATCCTCCCAACATTTTCTTTCCCATCGTTCCACTTTCTCCCAGCCATTTCCATAAAAAGAATGATTGGCACGAAGTTGGGCTGAGAGCTCAAATATTTACCCAATCTAAGTACACACCGGTTTATAAAGCCGGTGCCAGTCAAAGCGTTATGTAAACATCGTCTTACAACAAAGAAAACGCCGCCCATCAACTCATTTCAACCGGTTTATGGCAGGAAAAAAAAAATTTCTTCACGAAAACAGAAAATTACCTGAAAGTCAAAGTCCTTGAACACATCCAGAGTGGAAATGTCCGCCTCAGTCGTAACCAGCTTGGGACAACTTTCAAAGTCTTTTTTCTCATAGATCAGCTTACTTAAGCCGGTGGGTAACAGTCCAGCTCCGTGAAGAGCCACAGGCTCTGCCGAAATGATCGAGTGATTTGACCGTTGAACATCCGAAGTGTAACTGAAAAATCACGTGCAATTTGAGTTTTAATAATCCAAATTTCTTCTTGTTATTACCTTGTATAGTAGATGCATAGCAAGATGGTTGCAATTATTGCAGTCAAGGCAAAGCCCTTTGGGCTGGGCCTTGGACATACCCGCTTCAGGTTCAACACCGTCATGCTGAAGTCATTTCAGCCCCATTTTCCTTATCGCTCGATCTGCAAAGCCCTGAAGAATTTCAAAAATTAAGTGAGGAAAATCAGGAGAAACAACCAGGAATTTCCGGCAATTTACAGCGGTTATTTCATTAGAGACACTCAGTGGTGGCACTAATTAGGTTTCCGTTAAATGACGCTAATTAGTACGGTTTAAGTTGCTAGTGGATGGCCACAATCACAGATTACTTAACTATTTGCGAAACTCCTGCATGCTTAACGAGGCAAATGATGCTTATTACTAATCTCTGAAAGAAATGGAGCCAAAATTGAAAAAAATTGCTATGGGTAGACTTGAACGCTTCGTAACTGCTAGTCTGATGCAGATCGAAATCTGGCAATCTGGTAAAAAGAGCTTTTTTCAACTTGTGCAAAACTCCTAAACTGGAGCAGGCACATGGCCAAATTTTTGGAAATTTATTGAAAAACCTTAGAGGTCAGTGCATGCAAAGATTCACTCGATTTCAACTATCCGCTGATATTTGCAGGCTGTTTTAACTTTATCTTAAAAAGTGGTTTATTCAAAGAGTGCACTGGCGCTGTAATATCGTAACTCCTTCTGTTCTACAGATAAGCATGTTGCAAGTTTGGATAATTATAGAAAAATTCATAGTGCTAATATAAACCAGGTTGCACTCAATTCCAAAAATCCGTTAATAATCGCGGTTTTTTTTAAATTTTACCTCTAAAAGAGTCTTTCGTTCTCAGAATGTAAATCTGTCCCTAAAAATCGTAACTCTTGTGTGCTGGAGCAGATAAAATGCCGAGTTTGCCGCAATTAATCTGCAAACCTTAGAGGTCAATACATACAAAGTTTAAGTCAATTCTAATGATTCATTCATTCATCTAAAAAGGTCGTTTTTCAAACTATTTAATATTCTCTAGCCGTAGAGTTTTTACCGATTTTTTAAAATTTACCTTAATGTTTTTTTGTTATTTTCTGCGAATTAGTAAAAGTCTACGGTAGAGCAGGCATAAGGCTGACTTTTTGGAAATGCATAGGAAAAGCCTCAAACTAAAATGTTTTGTATTTATTTAACAGAAGCCGATTTTATTAGGGACGAAAGATCATTAGCCGCTTTTTTAGTTTTTCAGCTTTACGTTAAAAAGGGATTTATGCAAACTGATTTTACCCAATTATAAAATTTCTAACTCTCATCCTCGACCACTCAAACAGCTGACTTTTTGGACGTTTATAAGAAAGGCCTTGAGGTCAATTTATACAAAGTTTCACTCTGTTATCTACCCATTAACTCTTGCAAATTTTTGAAACTTTACCTTAAAAGTTATAATTTTTCCAAAGAGTGTCGTTCTGCCCCCAAACACTCGGGACTCTTATTTTGCAGCAGATAAAAAATTCTGTCAGTTTTGATATTGATAGAATAAATATTATATTTCAATACAATAAAGTTTTTTTTTAATTCGCTAGCCGTTGAGATATACATTTTTTAAACTTTTTTCAAATCCATTTTCAAGAATCCCTCCTTACCCGTGAGCCTAGAGGCCAGCGCTTGCAAAGTTTCATTCAATTTTAACTCGATGGAGTTCTGTGGAGTTTTTTAAACTTTTTCTAAGAGCGCAGTCCCATCTTTAAAAATCCCTAACTCCTATTCTCCTCAGGAACATATTATCAAATTCTTGCAATTTTGGATATTTTTTTGGAAAAAAGAGGATTTCAATGTACAGAAAGTTTCATTCAAGTCTTCCCAGGGGTTGAGTTTTGAGCAATATTTAAACTTTGCCGTAAAACGAGATTTCATTTTTTTATTATGCAGGCATGTATCTAAAAATGCATAACTCCTTTCCTGAAGCAGATCAGCTGCTGAAACTTTAGGTATTTCTGGAAAAGGTCTTAGGTTTAACGCGTACAAAGTTTCACTCAATTCTCTCCAGAAAGTCGGATTAACTCAAATTGTAAACTTGCCTGAAAACGGAAAGGAAGGTAATATTTTGAACGCTTCTAAAAATTCATAACTCCTAATCTCGAGCAGATCAATTGCTGAATTTTCGGATATTTCCAGAAAAAGTCCGGTGATAAATGTAGGGAAATCTTCTCTGAATTTAGCACTAAAAAAGTGATTTTTTTGAAATTGTGCAATACTGTTTTCAAAAAGTCATAACTTCTAACATAGAGCAGATAAACAACTGCAATTTTGAATGTTTCTAGAAAAAACTTTGGTATTTGTAGGAAAATTCATTGGTTCAATGCAGAGAAGTCTTCACGTAATTCGCCCTTAAGCTGTTGTGTTTCGTGGAATTTTAAAACTTACTGCAAAAAACTGTTTTTTTTTATAAATTGTGCCTGGCATGCCGGAAAAATATTCGTAACTCCTAAGCTGGAGCAAATAAAGCGGTAAATTTTTGAAAGTCTCGAGAAAAAGCTCTTGGCTTATTACATGCAAAATTTCGCTCAAATCTCCCTAGTCATTCCGCTTTACGCAATTGTTAAAATTTTCCTTAAAAATTACTTTTTCCTGTCGAAGAAATGCCGCTGACTTTTTTTATGGCTCTTCAAAAATCCCTCGGTTTAACGCCAACAAAGTTTCACTTAATTTCCTCTAGCCATTCAATTTCGCGGCATTTGAAAACTTACTTTTAAAAAGTGTTTTTTTTTTATTGGTTGGTCATTTTTGAATAAATTCGTAACTTCTTACCTCTTATTTTTTTAAAGTTATACTGAAATATCCTTAGACTATGAGATCTATGCAATTTTGAAACTTTACCTTAAAAATGATTTTTTCTTTAAATTGACTTTTTTCTGAAATCAATAACTCCTGTCCTGGAGTGGAGATAAACAGCTCAAAAACGGCGCGGTCTGCATTAAAAATTCCTAACTTCTAACCCAGATCAGCAGGGGACGTGAAATTCGCTAACTCTTTAAAAGATACATAGAGAGTTTCATTTAAATAGCACCAGAATATATTTTTACGCGTTCTCTAAACGCAGTGGTAGAAATTGAATCACTCAAATGCACTTCTTTAAAAATTCATAACTATCAACCCAGATCGGATGCCAACGTGAAAGTTGCTCAACCTTTACCAGACACTTAACTCTAGAAATCCTGAGAATCTAATTGAAATTATACAAAAATAAAACTTTTGCGTGCTATTTAAACGCAGTGAAAGAAATTGAAAATTTTACTCAAATGCTCGGTCTTCTTTAAAGATTCATAATTTTCAACACAGAATAGATACCAAAGTGAAACTCGCTCACCCTATACAAGACACTTAATTCTAGAAATCCTGAGAGTCTAATTTAAATTATACAAAATATAACTTTTGCATGCTCTTTAAACGCAGTGGAAGCATTTTGAAAATTTTAGTCAAATATTCGGTCTTCTTTAAAAATTCATAATTCTCAACACAGATTATATGCCAACCTGAAACTCGCTCACCCTATTCCGAATCCGGAAAGTTTAATTTAAATTTCACCAAAACATATAATTTTTTCTCGCTCTCTAAATGCTGTGGTAGAAGTTGATTTTTTCACTGAAACGAGCCGAATTTTTAAAAAATGTCTAACATTCAACACAGATTAAGTGCCACAATGAAACTCGCTCACTCCATAGAAGACACTTGGCTCTAGAAATCCTGAGAGCTTCATTTAAATTGCATAAAAACAAAATTTTTGCGCGATCTCTAAGCGCAGTGGAAGAAATTGAAATTTTTACTCAAATGCGCGGTAATCTTTAAAAATTCATAACTTCCAACCCAGATTCCGTGGCAACGTGACACTCGTCCGCCATATAAAAGATACTTTCCTCTAGAAATCCTGAGAGTTTCATTTAAATAGCACATAAATAGAGTTTTGTGCGCTCTCTAAGCGAAGAGGAAGAATTTTAATTTTTTACTCAAATACGCGGTCATCTTTAAAAATTCATAACTTTCAACCTAGATTAGGTGCCAGAGTGAAACTCGTTCACTCTATAGCAGTTACTTATATCTAGAAGTCCTGAGAGTTTCATTTAAATAGCACACAAATAGAGTTTTGTGCGCTCTATAAGCGMAGWGGAAGAAATWGAAATWTTTAMWCAAATGYGCGGTCATCTTTAAAAATTCATMACTTYCAACCCAGATTCCGTGGCAACGTGAMACTCGTCCGCCATATAAAWGATACTTTACTCTAGAAATTCCGAAAGTTTATATAAATTGCACAAAAATAGAGCTTGTGCGATCTCTAAGCGCAGTGAAAGAAATTGAAATTTTTACTCAAATACGCGGTCATCTTTAAAACTTCATAACTTTCAACCTAGATTAGGTGCCACAGTGAAACTCGTTCACTCTATAGCAGTCACTTTAATCTAGAAATCCTGAGAGTTTCATTTAAATAGYACAAAAATAGAGTTTTGTGCGCTCTCTAAGCGAAGAKGAAGAAATTGAWATTTTTACTCAAATACGMGGTCATCTTTAAAAATTCATAACTTTCAACCTAGATTASGTGCCACAGTGAAACTCGTTCACTCTATAGCAGTYACTTWAATCTAGAAATCCTGAGAGTTTCATTTAAATAGCACAAAAATAGAGTTTTTGTTCGGTCTTTAAACAGTGGTCGAAATTGAAATTTTTATTAAAAYGCAGGTTTTGTTTTAATTCCTACTTTTCAACCCAGATCATGCGGTCACGKGAAACTCGCTCACCCTATAGAAGAAACCTAACTGAAAAAATCCTGACAGTTTYATTTAAACCGCACCCAAACYTGATYTTGCGTGTTCTCAAAGCGCAGTAGAAGAAATTGACATTTTYACTCAAACGCGCGATATTTTTTAAACGTTCAAAACTTCGAACCCAGATCGGGTGGGAACATGAAAGTTTCGCACTCTATAGAAGACATTTCCTGCGAGAAATGCTGATATTTTAAATTAAATCGCATGAAAATCGGATTTTTGTGGGTTTTTGAAAAATAGGTATTCTTCAAAACTTCATAACTTCCAACCCATATGAGGTGGCCACATGAAAGTCGCTCACTATATAGAAGAGCTTTGGCTTTAAATATTCTGAGTTTCACTTAAATCAC